ACGTCTGCTATCACGTTATCTCATAAACACGCTTTTTTCCTTACAATTCAGCAGCCCCATATGATTAATTCTTTCATAAGATTTAATGTTTTCTGATGGCAAACACTTGAGATATCTAAAATAAAACGTTAAGTAAGCATCAGATAGAATGACTGCTAAAACAAGCACGTACTCATCATGACCTCAAACACCATAAATAAGATTGCCTCAAACAAGATAAATAAGATTGCCTCAAACACCATAAATAAGATTGGATGTGCCGAAGGATGCAGTGCAGGAACAAAATAACAAAGTATGGCAATCTATGTCACCTTATGTAGCATAAACAGTACCCAAAGGGAATCCAAAGAAAGAAACTTTGAGAGCCTTTTATGCTCCCAAATAAATAAATAAATGGGAGTTTTAAACCCAGACACTTTGTCTAGGAGGTACAGTGGAATGAATGATTTTGAGAGGAATGATATTCCTTTCTTCTCATTTTAACTCCTCATTTTTTCCCACAAAAGGTAAGACTGCGCTGATGGGTGGAATTTATGTATTCCAAAGTAAAAAGCTTCTGCAGAAAAAACTCACAATTCAGTGGCCCAAAATAAGAAGTGATATGCACAGAACAATGCATCCAGAAAGGAGGTCAATTGAAGGTGGTAAAACCACCATACTACCTTCAGAAGAAATTTCTGACACCTTTTATTAAAAGAAAAATTCACTTACCTGCAAATGCACACAGAAACTAAAACATGCAAATTCTCTTCTTATAAAAATCAAACAAGACATGACATCATTGCAATCCAACTCCGCACTTTTAATCACTTACATAAAGAAATGTAAGCCCATTCATACCATAAACTAACCTGATGAAGGAATGCCACTCAAAATTAATGCGATGACACTATATATAATCAAGCTTAATTAGACCAAATAACACCAAGAATGAAATTGGTCAAATATTGATTGATTTACAATACCTTCAAATATCACATTTTTACATTTACTTTATAGATGGAAACAAGCAGTGTAATCACCACTCTAACCTCCTATAAATTTCAGCCTAGCCCTATCTCCATAAAACAAGTATGGCATGGATCAAACCAAACATTTGAACAAGCATATCAACAGCATATAGTTTCAACTATCAAAAGATAATTTCCAAAAGGTCATGATAATTAAAGAACGCACGAAAAACTGCATCTCTTGGCCATAAACAACTCAAAAGATGGTCCACCAGTACAAACTAATCAAATCATTGGAAGAAAGATCATTAGTCAATTTAGTCAAACTTATTCCATGTTACCAGACACGAGAGTACAAATTTTAATATGTCATCGGCCAAGCAAATTCAATGATGATGAAAAAAGTTCATAAAAAAAAAAAAACCCAGAGGCAACTGAATCAAGATTGGAGGAACGAGGGTTAAACCAGGAGAAAATTGCTTGACCAAAGTTCTTTAGTTTTTCCCATTTAGGAAATTGCACACAAGACTAGGTCATGGAAAACTTAACAACTTTATTCAGATCAACTTTTAGTGAAAGAACAGCTTGAGCAAGATAAAAATGCATGCCTGGCATGACAAATAGTAACTAAGTGAAAAGCTCATAAGGACAAAAACATCCATACTCCAATATCTCAAGCAACAATTGCGGCTACATCTAGTCACATTCAAATTTAATAATGAAAGGAAGCTACAACTGCCACACATGCTTTAAGAAATCATTGGAAGACATAAAAACATATTTCAACAGTGTAGAGGTATCATTGGCATCCCCATTCATTTGATTAATTTGAACCAACACATAGCCCTAACTAATTACAGTTTGCTTATTCAAAAAAGGGAAATAAAATAAAAAAACAGTTTACAATACGAAATCAACGAAATATATAATGGCTATTAATTGGACACTGCATTGAGAATACAAGCATGTAAAGCAAAATATGATTGGATAATGAATTAGTGCGCAAGTTTGGTAAATTATTGATTTTACCAATTTTGTTTCTGTGTGTCTGAAAAATGTTGCCTGAAATAAATAACTAAAATGACATGAAAATTTCAATTTTCATAAAAGAACAATCCAGCACTCTATTCTTGTAAATTCAGAGATCAGCTGTGCTACATTGGCAGTTTCAAGACCAACAGTCATGAGAGCACACTAAGGAAGAAAATGTTCCACCAATCTCCAAATGATACACCAAACATTGAATCAACCATCAGTCGCTTGCTTATGTTTTCACCACCTTTCTATACCTCTCCCTAGGTGGTGGAGTGAGGAATATGTTGGAGAAACAAAATCAATAGAGACAAAAGTAAAGGGCATGTAGAATTATTAGGGACGGGATGCAGGCAGGTTTCACCTTGCCATCAGATGTTGGTGATGTAGAAAATGTAGCTTGGGATTTTTTCATGTCATCATCAGATGAACATTCAGAACAGACAAAATGATCCAGTTTTTTGGCTTCTTCGATAGTCATGCCCACACAGGCAGGATGATACCTGCAAGAAACCTACAAAGATTGAATTATTGAAATATGTATTTGATAAAGCATATAGAGATATTAAAATTATATCAAAAACTAAAATAATAATATTTCTAGGACATTCTAGAAATCTAACAATCTTGCAATGTATCAAAGGATCGTGTCATAAAAGGCAGTGTTAATTAATGCACGTACTATATCTCCATCCCCTACCTCTCATGGGTTTTAATTTTAACAAACTTATCCAAGCAAACTTTTCAAAAATAACAACAAACCAATCATTGTAAAGAATAGGCAAATGCATCATTCAATTTGTATTGGCTAACTTATATACGGGAAAAGAAACATCACAGAACTCAGAGTTGTGATACGAAGGTAATGGATGGGAGATGTACAATCCGTAGTTCCAACATGCAAAACATTAGCATGCCAAAATAGAGGATGAATAATCAAAATTAAGGTACCATAGGACTTCTTCAAACCATCTTTTAAAATCTTTTCATAATAGAACTCTTCAGTTCTGAAAATCAACATCATTGTTCAATTCAATTATGTTTTAGGACAGCTTGTTTAAACTACAAGCTCCTTCTGCAGGGACGGGAAATTATATCTAATGACTTCATCCAAGTAAATAACATATCTTAGCACGCCTAAGATCTGAAAATCTAAAAAACTTGAGTCAATACATTAATAATGAGCAAAGTGAAGCAGAATACAATGATTTTACCAATCCTTGCACCCCTCACATTGCACCATGAGGTCGTCCGGGTTATAAGGCATCTCGCATTTGCAATACCTTTAATATGCAAACCAAATCAACAGAAACCCACTGGTTATTGCAATCCAATTCTCCAAACGCCATAATTCCGACAAGAAGAAAGCACAAAAACTCACACAGCAACACGGTCTGGCGTGAAAGCCCCAGTCGCAGCCTTGTATTCAAATCTACAGTAGTAATCTTCAGCTCCTACATTCTCAAGCTTAGTGTAGTTCTTGAAAGAGTGAACAATACACTTCCCTTCGATGGTGTGAGCACTCTGGACGTCATAATGGTCCGACAAGAACAGCTCTTTAGCTCCATGGAATTGTCTGCGTCCTCCAATCGACTCTTCCGGCCGATAATACCATCTCACACGGACTTTAACGTTGTTCCTATTATCTTGTTCAATCTTCTCCACGCGAGCCACGTACGGAGGCTTGCTGGTATCAGAAGGTCGCATCAGTACACAGTCTCCAGCTGCCAAAAAAAGCACGAAAGCACATCCTTGGAAATCGAAACGCAGAAAATCACGAAGGAACGATTTTTAACATAGTAACAGAACTGGGTATTTTGTGAGAAGAAATAGATAGCGATTTACCTCTGACGATCTTGTTGGTACCTCTGATGGTATAAGAGTCCAAGTCCTTTCTTCCCGGTCTAGTTTTTGCCATAAGATTGGAAATGTATAAATTGTAAGCCCTAAGATTTTAGCGAGAAGAACAGAGGAACCCTAAGTTGAAGATGAGGACTTTGTGTTGTGTGAGGGGCACGAGTAAGTGTGACGCTTCGCCTGAGTTTACCAGTGATTCAAGAATCGATATAATACTGTCTCAAGGTTCACTATAGAGGATGTTACTAGATATTTGGCGTTGAGCTAAGCGGCTAAGCCTTCTTTTCCCGGGCACGTATGTCCTCACCAAGTTTATTCCTTTGACGATTATTTTTTTCCGCTTAACTTTTTGCCTAGATCCACGGCCTGTTCTTGCAGATTTAAGGATGTTTCCCAGTTTGTAAAACTCAAAAAAAAAAAAAAAAATCATAAAATAAATCCTTTAATTGAGAAAATAAGTAAAAACAAAACACAATCGTAATTATAAGTATAATCTCGCCTTTCCTTGATGAAAAATGACTATAATATCAACAAACCATTTGTTCTTTTGACATACTACCAATATATTTTTTAATATACAACAATAAAAGACACATTGCTCGTAAAAATGAATTTATAAGTGCTTAAAGTGTTAATTACCATGTAACGCTCAAAATCTGTTGGCATAGCAATTCTGTTTCTGTGGATGTTATTTATTCCCGCGTGTAAACAGGACAACTGGTAGAAAGAAGCACAAGTACAACATTTGTACGGAAGCCGCACCAAGCCGGAGACCAAAGGGGAAGGTAAGAACAGTGAAAGGCGCAATAAAGAGACAATGGTGTTTCTGAGATTTATCACCTTTGAGCAGCCATGCTAGGGTGCCAACATGATTGCTCAATCATTGCAAACCCAAGACAAATTACGTTGGTCAGATCCGCAAACAAGGTTCACACGCAAGGCGCCCAAAAAAAAAAATAAAATCCACGATATGTTTGGCATATAGAGGATAACAAGATGAAATTAATAGCAAATAGCATGAAAACATGTAATATGCACTCGTGGATACCATCCATGAGAACTTAATTTACTTAATCAAATGGGTCCACAACTCCATCTAAAGTCCCTGGCTAATCAGAGATCCAGTGCATATGTTAGAGAGAGTGATTCAGATCCCTGGTGTCACGATTAGAAGCCTCAAGAAACACGAGCACTCTAATTAAACTTCATCAAAATTCAGTCATCACAGTTCCTAAAATTCCAAGCTTCACAGCTGCAAATTTGGCGTCACTTGCCCAACTTCTAATTAACAAAAATCGCATACAACTTGGTCTCCTCATGTTTTACAGAAGAAAGGAAGGAGGGTGGGGTGAATCATTCCTAATTCTGACTAAGATATAACCGAAAACTGCCTCAACGGTTTATTGGAGTGTGCATACGCTCAACAATTCTGTTAACAGCATTACGGGACATCACCAATGTATCATGCAGTAAAATACTGTAGACATTCAACCCCTGCAAGAACATGTGAAAGATAAATTAGCAAAGAAAACTTCCACAACATCTGATAAGTTGACAGAGTCTCTCAAAAGTCCGTAATTTCTAAACAGAAACACCCATTGACTCGAGGAAGCTAATTTATAAATTATGCTCCTGTCTTGTATAGAAACATTCAAACAAGAAGGATGAAAAATGTAACTTACAATGGAAGGAAGTATGTTAACATAATGAAGATTTTGTGTAGCCAGCTTCAACTTTTCCCCGATTGGACCACCATCTACAAGCAAAAGTTTCTTGGTATCTTCCATTTGAGAGACATAGTTCACGATATTCTTGGTCTTGTGGTTGGGAACCTCCAAATCGTCAAATACAAGAAGCTGTGTATATATGCAGTCGTCCATTATTAGGTTCATGTAAAGTGAAATTATAAGCTTCAATTCAGCATAAAATGCAAGGGACACACAATCGAGGAAAAAAGTAGGCAAACGGTACAAATTAGTCAAATTAGGGGATGAAAGAAGCTAAAGGACAAGTCATGAATAACTGAGTTTCAAGAACAGACACTGTAGCCTACTGTACCAGAGTCATGATAAAGCATCTCGGTAAGGTAAAAAAAAAACATGGTATCGGGAACTGAGTTCAATACATGCCCTAAAGAATGGCATTTTGACATGAAATACACATAAAGAATAGCCTACATTGATCATTTTTTGTCAAGCTACATGAAACTCAGAGACAGACAATATACAAATAGATGATCAGACAGTTTAAGGCTCGACATGCTGGGAGAAATTCATAACACTCTTGATGTATGTCAAATTTGATTGTCAAGCCACTGAAACAAAATAAAAGCCAGTTGTTATGACCATTCCAAGATTAGGTGAGGAGGTAAACAGAACCATTCTTATTTCTCAGATAATATATTTGTTTCTTGTTAGCAGTGTGTATGCAAAGCTAAACAAGAACATGAATTTTCAACTTTACCATTCAAATTTTAGAATTCAAGCCCCCTTGGGTCAAGAGATTCGTACAATAGGAATGGCAATTGAATGTGGAAACAGATCCGTGGAAAATTAACATAAAAGTTAGAAAATAACAGATGGAAAGTCAACATTCAATTTGTTCTCTTAATCTTCCTTTTCATTAATTTATCAACACGCTGTGTAAAATCTAGGCACATGTCACAGCTATCTATACAGTATGATATGTTATTTAGATGTTTCGCACCACATTTAAACTCCACAGGAAATTCATGATATACATAAAAAAAATACAACAACTAATAATTGATCCCTTTCACATAGGGAGAGAAAGTAGCTTAATGCATAAAACCAGCAGAAATAGTTGTATCCCAGACATAACTAAAAGCTAAATTAACAATATGGGGCACAGTGATTCTGATCTAAAAGTTAGGCAGGAGTATTATGTAAGAAAAAAAGAAAGGAATGTCATATAATCAACCCTTGGGAAGCAGCAATAATTAACACAATATATAAAAGCTAAAAGTGAAATGTTCCTGACATGAAAAATCAAACTAAATTAAGCATAAGCAAAAATCTTAAACTCAACCAGGATAAATTTAGAGCATCAATGTTGAAAGAGAAACAAAACGATGAAGAATAGAGAAGCATCAATTTTAGAGGGGGTGAGGAAGAGACTTGCCTTTCCTTCTGCTGCACGTGCTGACAGAGCAATCTTCAACCCCAACCGGCGGACCTTCTTGTTGAGCTTGAAGGCATGGCTTCTGGGCTTAGGGCCATGCATAGTGGCACCACCCCTGAACTGTTACCCATTCATTGATTCAACTACCAAATATGTTAACAATGCAGCAAAGTAGTGAAGAAAAGAAGGAAAAAAATGGGCAGTTAACCAATAAGAAGAACGTTGTGTTACCTGAGGCCCTCGTAAAGTACCATGTCTTGCTCTACCAGTTCCCTTTTGTCGCCAAGGCTTTCTTCCTGTCCCACTGACCTCACTAATAGTTTTTGTAGAGTGTGTTCCCTGTTCCACTCAATTAGTAGACACCTAAGTTCCATCATACCAAGCATGCTTTTAAACCAAATTCTTTTTCCATTTCTATTTTATTACTTTCTCCAAATCCATTTCCACCAAAATGCTTCCAACAAACCAAACAGAGCCTAAAACTTATTCCTACTCCTAAATAATTTATGTATCAAATTCCATAGTGTCCAGGTGCAATAAAATATAAATATAGACAGTTCAACCAATCATTGACAAATGCCAAGACATATTTCATCCTCACACACTTTGATGCGAACACGCTAAACCGTAGTTATTGTTCAAAATACAAATGCTTTTCACACACTCCCCTATTCAACCCTTCCCCCCAAGAACTTGTCGATGCATCAACAGAAGTGATGAAAGAAAATGATAACATAAAAGCCATCCCAATTATTGTTTGGTCACTATTACAAAATTAGAGTCAGCAGTCTCCCCTACTCCCTCAGGTCTTACTGGTAAGACATCTTCTAGAAGTAATATTTGGTCCAAAATATAGGACACCTTGTAATAATTAAATTACTTTTTTTCAATGTTATCCTTTCTTGATTAACGTAAAGGTATTTAATGTAGTTGTATTATGATTTAAAACCAAATGTAAAAATGAAAGTACATCTTATTCTTTTATCATGTCAAGAAAAAAAACTAATTTTTCTTAAGATATATGAAACGATTGAAAGTATCCTATAATAAGAACTGAAGGGAGTAATCCCTGAATAACATGAAAACTATATAGAATCAAGCTTTGGATTTGAAAGCATAATGAACAGTAACTACCTGCTGTCTTTTGGCAAGCTGCCACCTAACAACACGATGGATAATATCTTTCCTAATAGGAACATCAAAAACATCACCAGCTAAAACCATTAAGCCCTTGTCTTCATTATGGAAATTGGTCACTGGAATCAAAAGATCCTGGTAAAGCCCTACATCATCCAAAAAATACATTAGTTACAAGCTCTACTATATTATTTAAAACAAGAAAGCCACAGCCAAATACGTCAGCTCTTCCGTGATGAATATCAAGGCTTAACAACTAATATGATAGATGGGGGATAGTGAAAACACAGTACATAATCAAGATGCACTCAACTTGTAATCAATACAAAAGGTAAACTCTATAGCAAGTCACAACATTTATAATCCATGAACAATACAAACCCATACCTTATACTCAATGCAAGTATGGGAAAACGTGTCTAATTTATTATGAATTATAATTAGGAGGTATTTAAATATTACCATCATCTTTATTTTTAAAAGTGAAAGACGCATGATCAAAGCAAACAACTTGAACCCTAGTACATCAAGACCACAGCTGACTAATAACAAAAATGTGATATGCATGACTTTTGAAAGAGAAGGCGAGATACAAAAGTGAAACCCTAACCACAAGTTCATATTTTAGAGCAGAATTGGATCATTAAACATATATATAACACTTAATTCTCCATGATTGAGAAATAAGTGTCACGTATATATTCTTTTCCTTGAGAATACATACAGTGATGTCTGACAATAAATGTGTTTATTCCATTACTCGCATATGACCATCACATGAGAATTGCGCATCTTCTACCTTTCAAGAAAAATACAGAATGGACAGAGGAACTTCAGAAATGTCTCAGATATCTAGCATCACACAGCAATTCTGGCCGCAAGACTAATATTGTATTGTTTAATATCTCAATTTCAGAGGATAACAAAGCACTACGAAATTCAGGTAGAAGTTTTCAGAATATCATCCATACCCATAGTGCGCTCAGAAGCAGCCCCTGGCACTTTAGACAACAAATCAGAGGGAAATGTATTATCACCAGACCCAGGAGTTAAAACAGAAGTTGAAAACAGCCGATGAGAACAGGTCAATGACCTAACCTACATTTAAATATACAATTGTACATTATACAGCAGTGAACGCAAGACCATAATCACGAGATAATTCTTTGCAGATTAAATATTCATCCACAGAAAACTGCATATGGAGAACGAAAAATAAATGCAGTGACAACATACCGAGAGAAAGCCAGAACGTTCTGCAGAAAACAGTCTGTCCCCGACTAAACTGTTGCATATATCTGTGAATGCAAAATAATGGGGAAATAGCGAAGCTTATAATAACCAAAATCAGATTTAGAACAAGAAGTAAGCGGTGACATTAAAGAAAGTATATACCATCCGGTTTAATTAATGGCGGATGAGTAGGATTTGGTGAATAACAACGATGGCCTATTGAATACAAGGAACCAAAAGAACGTTGGAGCCTTCTTGAGATTAAAGCTGCCATACTTCATTAAACAAACTAAATCAAGAATCTAGCCCAGCCCCAACTCCACATTCCAATGCCAGCAAGCTGATTTATACCTGACAATTTGAAGTTTCAGAAACTCAAGCTTCCTCAAACAGAACAACAAGTAAACAAAAACCGAACAAATCACACTATCAATTATGTCCAACAACATATTAGACTTCCAGTCATCCTAGATAACATTAAGGAAAAAAATGTTTCTTGAAGTGACTGTCCAAAAGAACAAAGAAATGAGAAAGAAAAGAATAGCTCAGCGTCAGAAATCACCATATACACATGTCCGTTTATCTACCCGGGATTCGTTAATTTCTGAGACGGGTCATCCATAAGTCCATAAGTGGAGAAACATATAAATAAAAACGATGTTTAAAAGGGACACCTTTGGACTAAATGATCAGAGAGATGAGATTCAAACCCGTACGCTCCGCAATCTCTAACAAACCCACAGCATGAAATTCATCAAATGACGCGAATCAATGCAGCAAAAGTGTTTGAGACGAAATAGTACCGTGCTCCAGATAGGACCAGCGACTGATGTGCAGCTCCCAGCCCCTCTGCGTTATTCGGGTTTTGTAACGCAGGCGAGGAATAAGACGAGAAAATGACAATAAGACCCGCATTTTATTCGGGTTGGGTCCATACAAGCCCAATCATTTTTGGCACATAGAAGTATAAATCTTCATTGACCCAAATTAAAAGCCCACTATGATTCACCCAAAAAGTCACTACTTTTGTAAATTAGTTTGGGCTAGATTTTTCATGAAACATTTAAGCATGCAAACCCGTAAAATTTATTTGATATTTGCGTTTACTTGGAAAGAAATAGATTACTTTTGGTGGGCATGAAACTCCATTTTGATATGCACGGAGTGGGGAAAGTGCACTTCCAACTCCCATTGTTCCCTAATTTTTCTCTTCATAAAATTAATTTTTCAATTTAGTTTGTATAGTTTATAGATCAAGTATTCTTAAATTTTTCTCATAAAAATGTCTTTCGTTTATGATATCTTATATAAATGTCTATCTATTAATCTTTACCAAAAGGAATAAACTATAAGCTAATATAGGAGATTACTTTGTAACCCATAAAAACATTTAAGTTATATATTATCACATCTATCAATCACATCTTCAGTAGATTGATTAAAAATACACATTATTGATGGCAATTTTATTTTATGAAAGACCAGAAATAAAACTACAGTTTTAATTTACCAAACCAATAAGCGATTAAGTATTTAAATTGATAAATTAAATTATCAAACACAGAAAACAAGTTTATGAAGTGCTAAATTAAAAATATTTTTTGCTTGTGAGACTAAAATTAACTTCAATGGAATAATTCCATAAACCTAAAACAGCAACATACGAATGATAAATTGGGAGGATCCAACGCATGCTACAATGTTATTCTCAAGATTTCCTTAATTACACTAGGTATAACTTCTTTCTTTATTTTGGGAGCCATATCAAAATAGGAACATGCCTCAATGATTTAGGGCTCATTTGGTTGGATACAAGAAGGGATTCTTACGCACGGTCTAACAGGAGAGGTTATTACCATCGGTCAATCCAATAAAATTATTCCTAATAAAAAGATACTCCTTCAATTTAATATATAAATCACTTTCTAGAAATATAATCTGATTCACTTTATAAATTATTTATTGATGGGATTGTTTTGTTTTAAATTGAAATTCCCAAATTATCTTTAAAAAATAAGAGAGAGAAAAATTTAAAAAAATAATATTATATGATTAACTTACTTTTTGTTTTTTACTTTAGGGTTATATTTAAAATTTTACTTACTTTTATTCCTTATATTTTTATTGTATTGGTATTGATGAGGTTGATAGAAATAATTTATAAATAGGACCGAAGGAAGTACCCATTGGGAAAAAAAAAACATTTTAACACTGTTTGTTTGGTTGCATCTTGTGATGATAATCCCCCTCATTTACCACTGATGGGCTCCCTGCCTTCTAGCCTTCTCCAATCTCCACCTTCGCTGGCGTCACCCATCACAAGCATTGATAGTCCGAGATCGACATCCAACAAAGACCCATCGCTAGCTTTGAAAACAAAGATTCATTTCATCAAACACCCCGTAAGCCATGTTCATACATTCCTCTTCCATCTTTTCCATCTTTTGTTAAGACTTTTGGTTTGAGGGTAGAAAGGAGGAAAAAGCGCTTGCAATTCCTCACGTTCATACTTATCCTTTATTTTTTGCTGGAGGGATTTAGCATTACCTCACGACAATGTGGAAGGGGGCAAGGGAATGAAGAGGAAAGGGTTGACAATATGGATCTAGGTAACGACGAAGATGAGTTAGGAATGGAGGAAGGGGGAAGGGCAGAAGTGAATGCGGTGAACGACGACCACAGTCTGTAGTGACAACGGCGAGATCTTGAGAAGCAGCAATGAGGAAGAGAGAGCGGCGACCGATGAAGAGCTTAGGGTTGAAATTCAAAGCTCGAACTGAAGATGAGATCAGGGATGGCGCTAATGAATGAAGTCAGTGGGTGCACACGGGCAAGGCCCTGACCGATGCCTAGCCTGAAGGATACATGGGCTGCAAACGGTGGCCCGTCCGCCCGTAGCCATTTCACGTTGGGCAGAACTAGCCACCTTCAAGCTGCCTGTGATAGGGCTCTGCCGATTATTTGTGAAAAAAAAAATTTACTAAATCAAACTTAATAGCATTTTAAGAAGCAGATATATTAAATAAGCCCAAAACAATATCCATACCGCATAAATTTATATATACTGAATGAATCAGTTGCCCTAGAAACAAACTTTTCAGAAGCACCCATACACAAAATTTCACGAGTAGCATGTAAAAGGAAACTAACCTCAAAATTAATAGTATAATTGTAAACTAATTACAATCATCAAAACTCAGAACTCAGAAATCAGAATAAAATGAGCCATCAAAATAGTAAAAGGCTGTCAAATTGCAAAATTCCAAAAATTTTAGCAAAGCTGTTAAACTCAACAATAAACCAAACATTCTTAATAGTTCAATAATATGATAATAAAGAAGGCAGATGATTTCCACCCAAAAATAAAAAAAGAAGGCAGATGATTTAAAAAAACTACAAGCAAATGACGAGACTGGTGACAAACTTAGTCTTCACAGCAAAGGGCCTCATCTATTCCCCTCCACAACAGCAAATATCTTTAAGGCGATAGCTTTTAACTTCTCCAGTTAACATTGTCGAAATCAAAAATGAAGAATAGAATAAGATATCATTTTTTGCAAGGAAAAGTGGTGGAGATCTCTTTAAAGAGAAAATGTAAATGTGCATGCTTTTACCAATGCAATAGGATGACGATATCAACTATTGTTACCCAAAAACATTGGGTGTTGTTTGGCAAGATCATGCCAAAGAATAACAAATGCAAAGGCCAATAGTCTGCCAATTAGATCTAACTCTCGAAACTGACTGTTAAAGTGACAAGGAAGAGTCGAGCGAACAGAAACAGAGACGAGCGAAGTTCAGTGAATGGCATAGCAAAGTCAAGCAAGAGTCGAACGCAAGAGCACAGTCGAGCAACAAACACATGCAGAGTCGACGTCGATGTCGTCGGCGCTGCACAGCACTGCTCGCGGTCACGCACAGTCGTAGACGCAGAGTCCAAGCCGCAAACGAGAGCGGGGAGAGAAGAGGGTGACGGCAATGGCAAGGATTGGGACTTGGAAGGGAAGGGGAAATCGAAGGGCACAGAGCCGAGGGGACAGGGGACAGGGCAAAGGGAAGAGCGACAGGGCTGGGAATAGCCGAATGAGAAAAGCGTTGGCCTGAAAATACACACCCATTCTCTTGCTGTCTGGATAATTTTTTTTTTTGAGAAGGGGGTGGGATAACTAAGGCCTCGTTTGGTATAATAGAAAATTTTTTAATGGAATCGGAATCGAAATTGAAATTGAAATTGAAATCGGATAGAATTGAATTATAAAAGTTTGTTTTGTATGAAGATAGAATACCGATATAATTTTAATATTAAATAAGAAAATACTAAAATGCCCCTGACTTTAAAAATAAAAAAGGAAATCACAACACAGGAGTTAGAATCGCAACTCAGCTACAGTGCTTTCTTCTTCTTCTTCTTTTTTTCTGGAAGTGTATTGGAGCTTGCAGGTATATTAAAGCTCGGCAAGATGAGAGTAAAGAATTCCTAAAAAATACCAATAATAACACAACACCAACGCATAACATCAATAGCAACAACACAAACCAATTTCATCGAGCCAGAACATCGACAACGATGAGAGTCGAACGGCGGTGCCGTTGATTATCAAAAACCAAGTAGCCATGACACCGTTGAGCTGGGAAGTAATGGTTGACATCCTCGAGGCCATTCACTGATGCTTCCTATCAGTAATGAATACTGAAAAAATGGTGGCTAGGGGAGACTAGTGCAGATCGGAGGAAGGGGGTGCTTTCAATGTCGTCATTCATCACTATTAAAAAAGGTCTTGTTGCAATCATCAATCAGCCTTTGTGTTGGCTAGAAGGGGTAGGGAGAGAAGCAGGGGTCAAATGGAGCAAGGGGGTAAAATGGAGAGAAAGGGTGTTGGAATCGGATTCTATGATGTATGAGATGGAATCAGATTCTGCCAATTTTGACTGAATCAGAATTCTATAGAATCATGAATGCAATATACCAAACGAGCATGATCATGGATTCCATTTCCATTTCCCTTTCTATTTTCTTGATTCCAACTTACCAAACATGGCCTGAGTGTGTGTTTTATTTTCATTCTGTTAAAAATTTATTTGATAAAAATTAATTATTATAATAAAATTTGCATTTAGATAGATTTTTTTTTTAAAATCAGTTCGATGCATTGAAAATTATTTGAATTATAATAGTAAAATGTGTTTTTAAATATACAATTATTAAAAAAGACATTGATTTATGATGATTTGTAATTTTTATTGTACAAATATAATATATTTAAAATATTTGATAAAAATTAATTATTATAATAAAATTTTCATTTAGATAGATTTTTTTTTTAAAATCAGTTCGATGTATTAAAAATTATTTGAATTATAATAGTAAAATATGTTTTTAAATATACAATTATTAAAAAAGACATTGATTTATGATGATTTATAATTTTTATTGTACAAATATAATATATTTAAAATATTTAAAAAATATGATAAAAATTTTAAATAACATAAAATTTGATCTATGATATTAAAAACTTGATCTCTAGTTATTTATACTTTTTAATTTGTAATTTTAGAAAATGTGATGAAGATTTGTTATTTTTATTATACATTAATGCTAAAAATTAACATAATTAATTATTCAATTTATAATGATAAAAAATTGATACCTAGTTATTATTATTGAAATGATAATTATTTTTGTAATGAATTAACTATTTTTTAAATAAAAGAATAAAAGATTAAATTTAGGGTAATATGATCAAATAACATTTTACTTTTCAAATCTATTTTTCAATAGTTTCAAATAGTTATGTTTCACAAATTCACTTTCAGTTATCGTTTAAATGTACTTTCAGGATGTACTTTCTTGTAA